ACTGCGGTTTCCTTTCTCCTGTAATATGACTTGATAGATTTAAACCCCGCACACTGAGCTCTGATTGGTCAGCAGGCGGTGCTTTCACTGAGTTGATCTCTTTTCTATAGACGCTGGAGGCGGGCAGCGTCAGGTAAAAAAAAGTTATTTAGCCTTCCCAAACCTGAGCCTCACGCGCCGCCTATGAGCAAGAAGTGTCTCTGGAGGGTTGAGCTGTCACCAGCAGGGGAGTAGAAATGTTGAAGATAAAGCTTACAAAAAAAGGTCAGACAGCGATTTCCAGCAGCTGTAAATGAAAAATAAAGACCAGCAGTCTACAACGCGAAAGTGGACATAGCATCAAAGCTAATGGGTTGTTTGTCCGAGTCTAAAGCGAGTTTAAAGTATTTAGTGTAAAGGGAAGTTTCTGTTTGAGGCAAATTTGGCAGTGACATGTTTTGCACTCGTTTGTTAGTTATTGGTTAATACAGAGATTGGAGGAACCATTATGAAAAATACATTAAATAATAGCTGTCAGAAAGTCATTAAAAAGCTTTTTTTTAAATCTTGAAACCATAAGGATTCATAATCAAAAAGACAAATTCACAATTATTTAAAGTCAGGAATTCAAGGTCCACTTATTTCTACTTAATAATTCAGTATGAAACCTAATTGTTCCTTAAAGGTCATCATGCAATAGCATGGGTCTCAGATATATAAAAATATATAAATAACATGTCTATGAAGGGTTTTGCTCCAAATACTAAACAGATCATTCAAGCCATGCCTCATATCCCTCTATTCCACTTCCTGTTTCTAAAGTGCTGATTGGGTATAAAGCTTTAAAGAGGAGGGGTCTGAGCTCATGCGGGACCCGGCAGCTACTGTCTAAACTAAATGCTGCCGTGATGAAACGCCATATCATGGATTATCAAGGATTCTCTCTGAAACAGTCTGGAGCTCAAAGGCTTTCTCTCTTGCCGGTTATACCACAAGGTGAGTTCCTTTCTACTTCCTGCTTCTTCACACACATGCTCTCCAGTACAGGTTAGCTCTGAGTGTTAGCGATGCTAATGTAAACACCGACCATATTACGTCCAAAACAGTCAGGCATTGTTTCTGATAACAACGTTTCTGATTGGGCCGTGGGTCCACATTTCAGATATTACGTCATATCGGACGCAAATCTGGATCAGCTCCGTTGTTCCCCGTTTTTAGAGATTTGGGTACGGAGGAAAAGAGAGAGGGTTTTATTTTCTGACGCTGCGTGAGTTCCCCGACACACCGGGGACACATGGTGATGTAGAGAAGACATCACAACGTGCTTTTTGCATCTTTAATTGACTCAGACTGGATCACACACACAAGGTAAATACCATTTTAATATCTTCCAATCAGAAAACACAGGAAACCACAGCAGTGCATACAGGAAGTATAATTAAACTTGTCTCTGCAACTTCCTGTTCCCGTCACATTTTGGTCCTTCTCATCATCATCATGAACAACATCTCCTCCAACATCTTAAAATCACATTTCAATTGTTTTATATCATAATTGTTTAACAGTGTTTTTTGTACATGTGTGCTTTATGTCTGACATATTCCCCGACAAAATGCACTAAATATTTAGCGTAATAATCAAAAATAATACTGATTAGCTTTTTCACATCATCAACAAACGTTACAGTTTTCAACCGTCATCGTTAGATTATCGTCCTGATCGTAAGACCAATCATTTTAATTATCATCGTTTTAAATCACCATGACCGCCAGCACTGCTGCTGTTACCTTCGTCATCATCTTCGTCATCATCATCGTCATCACACACACTCACACACAGACACACCACTGGACACACAGTGTATAGAAGCAGGCAGGCCCATTAATTCATATATGGCTCAATTATTAACACCAAAGCCGAGTCTAAGAGGTTCAACGCACGAGACCTTTTAAAAAGTCCAGTTTTATTCATTTCAATTCCTTTGTTCCTCTCAATACTCTGCAAAGATGTATCTGGACTTTGGAGTTGGACCCCGAGAGAAGTCTATTTTTTGTTGTACTGTTCATCGTTTCACAGAATCCACGGTAAGTTCAGTCCAACGTTAGAATCCGTTACACCTCAGATGTAGAAGGTGATGAAGATATCCAAACGTTTTCACCCTGCAGAATCCATTTGACTCTTTTAACTTTAAGTGCTGATGTGGCATCTATCGCACCGCAAAATCCCCATTTTCCATCTCGCCAAAGAATCCGTAGTATCATTTCTTCAATCGGGAAACAGCGTTGTCCATTGAATTCTCCGTCAGAACGAGAATTCAAAGCCTCGAAAGGTTCGTCAGGCTTTGCATTTCCAATATCAATCACTCGATACGACAAAATCCATTGCTCTGCAGAATCAGTTATCTTTTAAAACCCTGTCCTTCGTGTCCTACAAGCCGTAAAGTCCACTGAGGTTCGGCTTGAATTCTTTACCCTATGAACACTTTCATTTAAAACATCCTCTGAATTGACACTCAAACCAGATCTCAACTGTCTTGTCTTTCCTCCACTAACTTCTTTGACAACATTAAAGGATTGAAAGCTAGCCGTTGAGTTTGTGTTCAGCAGCTTGAGGCCGATGTGCTTCGTCCAACATGGTTTTGTGCTTCTGTAGTTTCTATTTGGTCATCTTCAAAAGTTGCAGTCACTCGGTATCTGTCAGCTCTGACTTTCTTCAGGTTTCCACACTAAGATCCTCTGCTCATTCTCAACAATCTGTCATTTTAAAAATCCATTTAGTCCCTCTTAGGACTTTCTGTCAGGTTTTACAAATTCACTGAATAATGAACAAGTTCTTTGGCGGACAGATCTCAGACGGGTTGGGTTTGGGCAAACTTTTTAAAACTTTCCCTATTGGTTTTTAGTGCCATGAACTCCCTTTCTTTTGTCTTGATTGCAGATGTAAAATATGTACTTTCTAGGGACATTAATTATGTTGCAAAATTGGGACTTTAGAGTCTAGAGAACAAACCGTTTTGGCCACATTTACATAATTCAGGGCTTGTAAGTGCTAGCAGGGGCGGTTCTAGGGGGGCAGGGGGGGCCAGTATCCCCCTAACACTGACCTCTGACCCCCCTGTGGCCCCCCTAACAATGAAAAGGTTTTTTTTTTTTTTTTAATGTATATTTTCTGGTACTCGGTTTGCCAAAAACTGCAGGATTTTGTTGCTGTAATGTGAGATTGTGCAGACACCCTTATGTAGAGTAGAGATGTAACTGTTCATTGCCTTTATTTTTATATAAATATGGTGTGAGTGCAAACATTGCACTATAACTTAAGCTGAAGCTAACAGTAATAACTATAAGATCTATCTGAAATAAATAAGTGTACTGAAACAAATACCAATAACTGTATTGCATTGTTTTCTTATGTGCAATTATTTCATACTGTCTAGTTCTCTTTTTCGTCCTGCATTTATTGTGCCCCCCTCAGAAAATAACTGGCCCCCCTGTCAAATTGGTCTAGAACCGCCACTGAGTGCTAGAAACACATTTTAATGTCAGCAGAAATATGATGTTTGACACTTTTCTGGAATTCAAATTCACAAAATAATTAACACACTCTTTGGCTGACAGATGTCCGACGGGTTGGGTTTGGGCAAACTTTTTAAAACGTTCCCTATTGGTTTTTAGTGCCATGAACTCCCTTTCTTTTGTCTGAATGGCAGATGTAAAATATATACTTTCTGGGGACATTAATTACTTTGTAAAATTGGGACTTTAGAGTCTAGAGAACAAACCGTTTTGGCCACATTTTGTAAGTGCTAGAAAACATTTTAATGTCAACAGAAATATGATGTTTGACACTTTTCGGGGAATATAAATGGATTACAAAATGTACAACTTTAAAAGAAAGAGCCATTTCTGACACGCAGCAGTGGGAAATCCCACAAAAAAAGGATGGATTTCCAGTTTTTTTTTATCGAACTTCTAGCAGATTTCTAATTAATGTCAGGTTTGTTTTTCATTACACAGTTCCTACATCCCATTATGCCTTATATGTGAGAACCCTTGATTGCTTATTTTCAATTTAACCTTTTTTAATTGCACCCCTAACACAACATCCCTGTTGCGTTCTCTGTGAGCTTTTACACTCAAAGTACATTTTAGAAGCAACAAAGCTAACCAAACCTGTTGATATTTTTCAAACTAGGGTGCTGAGAAAAACCCCAAAGCTGCTCTTTAAATGAAAGATAAAGCAGTTTGGATGTTGCCGGGGAGTTAATGAGCCTAGATGAGTCCGCTGAGAGCTGTGATCAGAGGACACAGAGTCCATGTTGCGCTAATTACATCTTTGTTCAGTGATCGACATGCGGCTGACGGCTGCTGCTTAATCTGCCTTTTAATGTCCGTCGGGTTAATGTGGCGCACACTGGAAGGATCTCTGCTGTCAGGTCTCTGGTTAGTGATGAATCTGGATTAGAGCCAACATGAGCAGAAAAAATACAAGCTACATCTTTAGTTAACCAATTTAAAGGTCCCCTAGTATACTGTTTTTCAGGTCTCAGATATATACAGAGCCTGTCTCTGATTGGCTGAAACACCAAACAGATCATTGCAGCATTACCCATAATCCCCTCTGTTTCAGCCCTGTTTCCAAAGTGCTGATTCTCTGTCTGTTACTTTAGATGAAAATAAGGAGCCCCTCCCCACGCCCCTCTGACGGCCCGTCCACACAGCGGCGTGCGTTGAAGCTTGCCGGTGGGCGTGTCTGAAACTCGACCAACAACCAATCACATGAATCTCCCGCCCCGGACACACAAGCAGCGGTTTGATTGGCTAGAGCTTGTACTGGCATATGATTCGATTGGCTGACGCTTCTGCCGAGGCTTCAAAAGTTGAACATTGCTAAACTTTTGCAGCGAGCCACGCCAGCAAAGCTCCGCTTCGCTTCCCACAATGCAGTTTGGCGAAAAGTGACGTCACCCCATTCAAAGTGAATGGTGAAGCTTTCAACGCACGCCGCTGTGTGGACGGGCCGTGAGAGAGATTTGGTTACAAAGAACACAATGGTGCTCTAGGAGGAGATTCAGGTGATAAGGTGGGGGGGGGGGGGGGTTAAGAACAAAACATCGTTTCCCTGGTCTATTTGGGCTGATTTCAGGACAATTTCAACATTGGTTTCACCTAAAAAAATAATCTAACTTCATGTAAGTTTGCATTACATACTTCTAACCTTCATGTATGTCAAGATGGTTTGCGTTTTAAGTCAATATTAACCCTAATTTTAAGTCAACTACTGCTATCCAGTTTGGCAAACTTTGAAGAGTTTTCTTATCATATTTGTTATGTAATGGCAATTTTGGGTTTTGCATTCAAAGTTTGTTGTGTGAGGGTCATTAAAATGTGTTATATTTCAGCGTAGGGTTCATATACGGACCTATTTGATTTGTAATATTGAAAGTCTGTTAAACTGTTCGTCAAATAGTCAGTTTTGTTTTAAATTCAGGACTTTCAGTTGTTAGTCTGACAGCAGATTCCTCTCTCTTTGTCCCACTTAAGTCTTGGGGGGTTTGAAGGCTAATTTGATAGCTAGCAATGACTGAATCAGTGACTGCTAACTAGCTAGCAGCTTTGAAAAATGACATCTGAAATAAAACGTTTCTTTAAAACAAAACCAGCTGAACAACCAGTCAAGTTGATGTCTGTTCGTCCAGTTTTTCTATCCGACCGCCTCGTCTGTAAGCTAGTTGTGTGCTAACAGGAAGTTAGCAGTCACTTCACTCTAGCTAGCAGGTGAAGCGTTAGCCGAGGGAAGAGTTGGGCTGATTTCAGGACTCTGTCAACGTTGGTTCACCTAAAACATCTAACTTCATCCATTGTTATCAACTATTCCTATCCAGTTTGGCCAATTTAAAAAAGTTTTCTTATCGTATTTGTTGTGTATTGGCAATTTAGGGTCTTTCAAACGTGTTTATATTTAAACGTAGGGTATACATACTGCAATGTTTGATTTGTAATATTAAAAGTTTGTTAAACGGCTGGTTTTGGTTTAAATTCAGGACGTTGTTGTTGTTAGTCTGACAGCAGATTCCTCTCTCTTTGTCCTTGGGGGGTTTGAAGGCTAATTTGATAGCTAGCCATGACTGAATCAGTGACTGCTAACTAGCTAGCAGCTTTGAAAAATGACATCTGAAATAAAACCTTTGCAAACCAGTTTCTTAAAAACAGAACAGCCAGTCAAGTCCATGTCTCTCTTCGTCTCTTCGTCCAGTTTTTCTATCCGACTGCCTCGTCTGTAAGCTAGCAGTGTGCCAACAGGAAGCTAGCAGTCGCTTCACTCTAGCTATCCGGTGAAGCGTTAGCCGAGGTTAGAGTTGGGAGATTTGCGAAGCCACTGGAAGAAGTGCCGTCTGTGGAGGCGGTGCCAGCGGACGTTTCCCTCCACGATCTCCAGAGAACGAGGCATCGCAGGCCCCGCCCCCAGGTCATTGGCCTGGATGAACTCCTTTAACTGAGGAGAGGAAGAGAGGAAGAGAGGAGAGGAAGAGAGGAGAGGAAGAGAGGAAGAGAGGAGAGGAAGAGAGGAGAGGAAGAGAGGATAGGAAGAGAGGAAGAGAGAGAAGATAGGAAGAGAGAGGAGAGGAAGAGAGGAGAGGAGATGAAGAGAGGATAGGAAAAGAGGAGAGGAGAGGACGAGAGGGAGATAATGGAGGGAAGGAGAGGAAAAAGAAACGAGGAAGGAAGGAAAAGGAGATGACAGAAAAGTTATTAGAACACCAGAAAAAAAACACCTCTGTGAAAAGAAAGAGAAATAGTGAAGCTACCACAAGGCGAAAACAATCACTACATTATGATAGAGTTTGAGGAAACTAACAAACCATTGAATTAGGTTTTAAAAGTATTGTATCTTAAAATGGTTGTTTTTTCCTCAACGTCACCGAAAAAGTCGCCAGAAAGATGCACAGTTAGAACGTCTTCAATATGAACAAAAACAATGGCTTGTTGCTGAATTACAACCCGGATACAGACACACTTTGTGGTAGACTTTTAACACAAGGTCGGTTTTAGAAAGCAATCATTGAGTTTAAGAGTCTGTGCCATACGATGTATGTTGCTTTTCAGACTGGGTCAAAAAAACAGCGGAGAAGTAACGGGGCAGAAACCCTCCTTTTTACGCAGCGGTCCAGACATAGACATCAAACGGCGACACATATTCAGTGTGCGGTTCCTTTGGCATTAGGGCAGAGACATCTAGATACTTTCCAAGCTTTGACTTCATGAATTGAGCTACTTTTAAAGCAAGCAACGATGTTTTCAAATCAAAAATCAAAAAGGTCAGCAAAAACGCTATCGACCAATCAGATTGCTTGATTTGACTTGTCCGTTTTATAAATATATTTGCATTTAGTCCGTTACGAAACAAACTTACAAAGCATAAGATAGAAACATTTAAGATTAACTTCGACCTCCGGGGGGGTCTCACTATGGAGGAGTGGATTGAGGAGTGCCTATCTCCAGAAAGCACCTAAACGACGACATGCAGAGCTACGTGAAGAGCAGGTAGACCAACTGGAAAAGTAGCACCATTCAAAAGCTTTCTGATGCGGGTCTTGAAACAAAGCAGAGACATGATGAGCGTTAGTGGCCACAGGTGCGAAAGCTCTCTCCAGAGCTGCTGGAAGCCAAATCTCGGGGACCGGAGAAAGTGGAGCAATATTCTCACCACGCCGACCAACAGCCTAGAACCACCTCAACCTACAAGTGACCTCGTAAGCATGCTACTGATGCTGGACAGGTTTTCAGTGGCTGCACAATAAACGGCAACAAACACATTAATGTAAATAAACAGCCAAATAATGGATCAACGCTCTCTGTCTAATATGTTCGCTAGCTGTTAGTGTTGTTGCATAGCAACCACCTCACACTATGTTTCATGCAGAAGGCAACGGAGGGACTATTTTATTTTGAACGTCATTATTTACTAATAAAAACTATTTAAATTAGAGTGTATTTTTCTTTCATATTGCTACACTTGTTCCGTTTCATAAAAGCAATAGCTCACTTCAGACCGTGGGATATGCTCATTATATCACGGCCTGTCGCGAGCTATTGCTTAAGTATATCTTATTCTATCTGAGTGTTGCCACATTTTGAGACAGCTAGCAGTTCCAAAACTAATAGTTTCTTGATGTTTTAACTTTTCTTTAAATGGCAATTAAAGAAAATGCGAGCTATGAAAGCTGAACTGTGTTTTAAAGGAGAGGTTCGACTCTAAAGAGGAACTTTGTTTTAAAGGGTTATAATGAGAGTGGAGCTATCAAAGCGAGACTTGCTGAAAGGACGCTAATTGAAGGGAGAGTTTGTAAGAAGTGAAGTATTACAGAGATACTTCTTTAAGGACGAGCATGAATGTGATTTTCAAAGTAAAGAGGAGGAAACTTGTCCAGAGTTTGACGGATTCACTGAAGCACATGTTCATATCGTTAGCACTGTACTTCTCTGCTCTCTCTCTCCTTTATCTATTCCTTCTTCCTGCCATCTTCTCCTCTATAATACACTTTAAGTTTCTTTCCCTTGGTGACTCAACCTTTTGTCAAATTTGTTTTGCAGTAAATCTTTTTCCCTTTCATTTTGGACGAAAATTGAAATAAAAAAAGGTACAATATTCATTTCATTTGGATCCCATTTTAATCACACACCACCACCACACACCACACACACACCACACACCACACACACACACACACACACACACACCCACCACACACACACACACACACACACACAACACACCCACACACACACACACACACACACACACACACACACACACACACACAACACACACCACACACACACACACACACACACACACACACACACACACACTGACTCGTTGTTACCATACCAACAGGAGAGGTACAAATCATGAACAAAATGGTTTCAATACAAAAACAAATGAAATAAATAAAATGAAGAGACACTTCACACTCTCCTTCTGCTTTCACTTGATTAATCATTTCTTCTTCTGGTGAAGCATCGAGGGAGTTTTAAGACACTTTAAACAAATAGGAACAAATATGTGGCGTAGATATTTCGGCTTGATTCTCTCTGAATAATCATTAACAGATTTGGACATCTTAGCCTCTAAAACATTAAACATCTAAACATTGTGTACATTAATGCACAACATGGTTTACAATATCTTGTTTTTCACTACATATTTTATTCCAATGTTATTTCTACGATTTCAACCAAATTCATATTCATGTAAATATTGCTATATTTTTTAGTGTTTTAAAATATTTTTCAATGTTTTTATAGTTTTCTTAAAGCTCCCATGTCATGCTTTTCCGGTTCTCACCCGTCCCCTTGTGTTATGAAGGTTCTTCTGCATGTGAACGGTCTGCAGAGTCTCAAACCCTCAAAGTGCACCCTGTAGCGAGTAAAACTCTAACACAGAGAAGACCTGTCTGCTGCCCCAGAACGCCTCGTTCGAGATTTATCTTTTTCCATTGATTCTTCCGGGAACCAAGTGACGTAACGACGACCCCGCCGTGGATTGGTCAAAATGGACCAATCCGTGGAGCCGTTACGTTAAGTCCGTGGATTGGTCCAAATCGACCAATCCAGCGGACTTCCTCACACTCAATCTTTTCTCAGCTGCAGCTCCGCCGATTTCTCCTCCCTGAGATGGCGGGATGCGCCGAGTGTTCGTGCTGTGTCTCGCTGTCTCGCAGACGGCCACTGGGCTCACAGGGGGGGGGGCAGGAGCTCCAACAAGCCGTTTAGGACAGAGAGTGAATACACAGACTATACAGAGATGCTGTGAGAAACCAATGTGAGTTTGGAACATTGAACAATGGAAATCTATTCTAGAAGACCTCAACAATGGAGTTATGATCAGTAGAAATGGCCATTGACCTTTAAAATAGTTTTCTATCTCAGTTTTGAATTTCTGTTTTTTTTCTATTTTTATGTATTTTTAATTATGTGTTTTTATATATGCACCTTAACCCAAATAAGTCAAATTCCTATGTGTTAACCTAGCTGGTAATACACCTGTTTTTGAAAGCCAGCATGCTGATGGCCAGTCGACTATTTCTGCCCAGCTGTTGACTGTATATACAAGACGTGTTGTTTGCCTCCTCTCACTAACTTCCTCCTCTCTCCATTCCTCAGTATTTTCCCGTTAGGAATCACTTGAGGACACTTTGTTCTTGGCGACCTTCAATGCAGCAGACATTTGTTTTTGTTGCCTTCACCCAAATCCTTTCTTTGAGCTCTGCAGGCATGACTTTTACAGCAGTGAATAATTATATACAAAATGTGTTTACTGTTCATTTTAAAACCACATTCAATCAGATGGGTTTATTACACAATGCCTCAAAATCAATCGAGAAACATCTCGAAGACGATTATCGAAATGGGTGAAACCTGAGGGTCTGAATCTCATGTCAATGTGATATTTCTAAAACATTTCCATCAAATAATATCCTGTTTTTGCTTTCTTGTTGTGGGTTATTGAGTGTAGATTGATGAGGGAAATACGTGTGTTACCTAACAAGAGGGTTTAGGGTTATTTTATGGTTCGGTTTTCCTATCTGTCGGCCGGATAACGTAAGAACACCTTGTTTAATTTTCATGAAACTTGGTGGAGGGGTGCAGCATAAGAAAAGGCAGAACCCATTCGAATTTGGAGTAGATCGGAAACACAATGACGGAAATACGGATCATTTTACACTTTCATAAACAATACGTGATAGTTTGTGAGAAGTCTACATCGTCCAAACTCCCTTCTCGTCCCGTTGTTGTAGCTGTGAAGCTCGTTAGGGTTATTGTGTTTGCAATTGGTCCAACTTACCTGTAAATATGACTTTAATGATATGTATTTGTTTGTATTTACCTCATTGAGTTCTTTCTCGGTGTTCAGGAACTCTGTGACTCCACCGATGAGCTTCGAGTTCATGAACAACGCTTCACCGTAACTGAACAGAGACACCAAGAAAAGACAGTTATTAGTCCCATTTCTCCAAAGTTGTACAAGTATTGTGAGTCTTTGAGTGAGGGATCGACCCACCGTGCGTTGAGGATGTCCCACTTTTCTCTGAAATACTTCCAGGCGAGGTTTCGACCCTGCGGGTTTCTACCCACGTGGATGATGACGTCGATCACATCCTGCTCCGGGACGAGGTCAGAGGTCAGAGAGAGGTTCAGTAATCTGGAGAGACAAAGAGACACAAAGGAGCTCATTGAGAGTTTAAACAGTATCTATCTATCTATCTATCTATCTATCTATCTATCTATCTATCTATCTATCTATCTATCTATCTATCTATCTATCTATCTATCTATCTATATCTATCTATCTATCTCTATATCTATCTATCTATATCTATCTATCTATCTATCTATATCTATCTATCTATCTACCTATCTATCTATATATCTATCTATCTATCTATCTATCTATCTATCTATCTATCTATCTATCTATCTATCTATCTATCTATCTATCTATCTGTCTATCTATCTATCTATCTAAAGTCTTATCTTATCTCTTATGTCATCAGGAGCAACTTGGGGTTAAATATCTTGACTGCAGGGGCTTTGATCGAACCGTCCAAATCTACTTTTTCCTTTCAATCATTTGGATCAGTTGTACACCTTCCTGTCTAGGAGTTAAATGTACCTTAAAAATGTCTTCCTTCCTAATGTTTTTTTTTAGGGGGCGAC